CTCCCCTGTGACCCCACCCCCACTCTTTGCCACTGCTTCTTCCTTGCCTGGCGCTGCCTCTCCCCTAGAAACCCTCCCCTGATCCCACAGGAGCCTGCCCCTGACTCTTCCCTGGTCCCCTCCACCCGGCTGGTGTGGGGACTGGGGTAGGCTCTCTTAGAGCCCAAGGAGTTCTAGCCCTTGTAGAGCTGGCTGCTGCTATCAGCGTAAGGCAGGCCTGGGGCATGTGCCCAAGGATCCTGAGTGGGTGAGATGGGGGTGCACTCACGTGACTGTCCCGGGACACTTGGGCCCCCATCCACATTGCCGGTACTCAGCCTTTATGTAGCTCTCTGCTCCCTCCTGTAGGACACAGGTCACATTCCTGTGCACCACGTAGGCGCACAGGGCCCTGCAGAGGAGAATGGCATCCTTGGAATATCTGGCCTGGGCCAGGCCCACTGAAGCTCCTACACACCCCTCCTCCATCTGTAGGCCTCAGGAGATATGATCCCCATCTTTTCTCTACTGCTTCTCCTTGTTCCTGGGAACCAGGGCCCTTGGCCTGGGATCCAACACTGTTGCTGGCTTTTCTGACCCCAGTCTCCCCAATGGGTTGGTCACTGGGCTCAGCTCTGTACTGAACCAGGAACCTGGTGCAGCTGCCCTTCCTTGGTCTGCCCTCTGCCCTCTCTGCCTGGAGAGGGGCCCACTCTGGATTCCCCATCAAGGGCCTTGCCACATTCTCCACCCTTTTCCAGCTCCTTCACTGGCTCTCAACCCCTCTTCTCAGCATTTGAGGCTTCTGAGGTCTCAATTTAGTGCCTGAGTGCCTTTGAGACCACGCTTCTCTCTGAGTTACTGGGGAAATGCACCCCACCTTGTGGCTTTCTGGTCCCTGCTTCTGTTCCTGGTTCTTCATTCTCAGATCACTTCTACTGCCTCCTCCAGGAAGCCTGCTCTGATGTGCCCAGGCCCACTGAGTGTCAGCTATTGGCTAGACATTCTCCTAAAGCGCCTCTCAAACGCAGCTAGAGTTCAAGTTCAGTTAGCACCCCAGGCAGAGCCCCTAACTCACCTGATAGAAACCAGTTGGCAAGCCACTGCCTACTAAAGACCAGAAGCTGAGGCAAGGGAGGGGCAGCAACCCCACTTACAGGCCACAAGGAATGGGGTGGCGGATGCCTGGCATAAACCAGCCACCTGTGGACTGCTCTTGAGCTCTGGAGCCACAACATGAACTCAGGACCCAGGAACCCCTACTGGCTCTGCGGCCCGGTCACGCTGGGGCTGCCAAGGGGTTGCTGGGGCGAGGCTGACCGAGGGAGAGGGCAGGCCGCCTGGCCCAGGGCTCCATCTCCTACCTGGCGGGACGGGGAGGGATGGGAGGCCCGGGCGCCGCGTGTGGGAGAGCCCCGCGCTCGCACCGCCCTCCCTCCTCTCCCTCCACCTGGTCCGCGGCGTCAGGGGTTTGCACACAGCGCAGCTGGAAAATGTTACTTCTCTGGAAAGGTTTCCGCGGGCACTGCCAGGATCCCCGCCGCCGCCGCACCAGGCCCCCTCGGCTTATTTTCCTTCGCTCGTCCCGCAGCCTCCCGGGGCGTGGGG